ATGGGTTAAAGTCCAGCCCTCTGAGATAGGCTACAACATACTCTCCAGAAAGAAGGGGTAGAAACCTGACCGTCATGATCTAGTCTGGTCTCCTCATGGAGTGCTGGGAAGGGTAGGGGATCAGTGCTCTCATTGCCAGCTGTGGGGGAGTGGGAATGGACTGGCCTGTCTAATGAGCAGTCTCCTCCATCCTAGATCTCATGATCTTTGGAGTATTGAAGTACTCTTGGCCCAATCCACCAGCATTTCACATTTAAGATGTATGGAACCACTGGTCTGTGGCTTAACTCCTACATCCGTGTTAAAGTCAGTGATGAACTTTAGCAGGACCCAGATGCTGACCCTGAAGGTGTTTCTCACATCACATCTCCCAGACTCTGGGCAGGATTTGTGTGGTCTCCACAGTCCACATAGCCCAAAACAGTCTTTGTTTTTATCCGTTGCAGCTAGGTTGCAATAGGACATAATCCATTAAGACACCTGTTTTGGAAGTGACCTTGAGTTTGTGTTGATTTTGTAGGGATTTACTCGTGTTCACGAGTGAAGCTACTGTTTACCTTAGTAATTCCTATGAGCTGTAGAGAGTGACGGCCTTTGCCAACTATTTTACCGCCTGCCCAAAGGCAGATGCTTGAATTATGTTTTTGATCACTGCAAATGCCACAGGATCAAGCTCACCTAGCTTGCTGGGGGAAATCCTGTTCCTGTGAAAAATCTTAATTTCTGGTGGGAACTAGTTTTTTGGTAGGCAAGTGTCTGGGTTTCTCATATTAATGCAGTAATCGGTGAGCAGAAGTTGTGGCATTTGCTCCTTTCCAAAGGCAAGTCGGAAACAGAATAGGAATGGTTCAGTCTCACTCTTGTTAGTAAAACAGGCAAGGAAAGTGAAAATAACTCCCTGATACATGAGAATATAGGGCTGCGAGAGATGTGAGGGCAATATGGTGAACTTGGATCAGGTTTTGGTGCATAGCCCTTTCTGTAAACAATGCAAAGACACATTGCTTCTCACATCAGGTTGACAGTAGGCTTGTGGCATAACCCATCAAAAATGTCATTAGATCCATGTTAGAAAAATTGGGGTTGATCAGCAAAGGGAGAGATCACTTATCCTATTGTACCATCATCCAGACATGCTCCATAATGTTCACAAGGTTAGGAAAAATGTCCTTACAGCTTCGACCCTATAAATGATACTCCACAAACTTTGTTTTCAAGTCTTCCCTGACATTAGTTTTCTAATTGCAACAGATGTCACAGCAGCGTTGTCTATGATAATTAATATTGAATGGCCATTTTCTTTAAGTGAGGCCATTGGGGTCATTCCAAATGAGATGTGTTCATACTGTAATGTAATTAAACAGTCGTATTAATAGATAAAACCCATAACGATCCCTTGCAGGTCACGTACAGAAATAGCAGCAGCACTGCACATCCCTTCCCTGTCCTGCTTGTTCTGCTCCAGCATGATGGGGATAATAAGAGGTCTTTGTAAAACTGCCAAGAAGCTGAAGGGAGAAGGAATGCTATCCCACCCCTAAGAGATCTCATGACTCGGAGATGATTGCAGGGGGATGGTAGGAGAGGCAGAGGCATCCGTGAAATTGCCTTTGCCAGCAGCAAGGGCTTCATACTGGTGAGCACCAGTATGTTTGCTGCTGCCTTGTTTGTTGGAGCTGCCCTTGTTATGCTCCTGTGAACAAGGGTCTTGTGTCCTCTCTGCCTGTGGTTTGGATACAGGCTAGAGCTGCCAGTGGATGCTCCTGGTCTGAGTCCACCTGGCTTGTTGAAACTCCTCTAGCTTGGCTGGGTGCTTGGGATGACTCTATGCCAATGGGAGCCAAAACACCCATTGGAGTTGTCCATAGAGTGAGGAGCAAAGCTGGAGTTGGCACCATTGTAAATCAGCCCACCCCCCAAGGATTATTTCAGCAGCTTATCCCAATCAGCCTGCTGGTTGTTGCCTGGAAGACCCTGTTTGCCCACCTCTGAGGTTGCAGGTGCACCGTGCTGTGCTGCAGTCGCCCCGACATGGTGATCCACTGCAAAGTACTGCTTGTGTGAGGTGGAAGCAGCATGGTGTGTCCTTCTCCTGCATATCCAAGTGCCATATGACCATCTGTTTCAGTCACAGCTGTCTGCATGTACCAGCACGGGTTTTACCTGTAGGCTGGTGGGAACCTTGCATAGGCACATCTTCCCTCTGCAGCACATGGGGTAGCTGTTTGGAAAACCAGGTTTTGTTATACTTAGAGAAATTGTTGGGTTTTTTCCCCTTGATTTGGCCAAGCAGGGCCCTCTGCACCTGGAGATGCCAGGCTGAAAATGAGGATGGGGGAGTAAGAGTGTTGGCTGGTTTCACTGGGGTGGCCTTTGCTATCTGTAGAAGCGACTGAATTGTATCTTCATCCATCATTTTTGTTGAACTCTGCTTATGCGTTTACTTCCAGTTATCAGAAAAAAACACTGCAAAATGGATGGCTGGAGAAGGTCCAGGCCACTTGTCCTATGTATCAGTTCACAGTTGTCTTACAAAAGATTACCAAGAACTGCAAAGATAACAGCTCACGTGAATCCTATTTTTAAAAGAGAGGCCCTGCATCTAAGAAGGACATGTTTCTCTTACAGAAGATACCCAAGAAATGCCATTCTATTTTCATCTGGCAAGATTGAAAATCAGAAATCGAGCCCGAGTTCCATCTGTACCTGGTTTCCCAGAAGAGGCTCAACTTGTAACACATCTCACTCCCATTTTGACACCCAGGTGCCCAGACCCCCAACTCAACTGGACTTGAAGTCCGGTTGAGCCTTCAGCTAACAGGAAACACACAACTTGCTTTGTTCTTTGTGTCCCTGCTCCTAACTTCCACCCCACGCACACGTGGTCACCGCAGACATTGGTGAACTGTATAACATCATCTGGCCCTACAACATGTGATAGTGTCTGTGTGAGTGGCTCTGGGTTTGGTTTCTTTTTTTCTTTTGCATGAGTTTATAAGATTTGGAAGCCTTTATTCGTGGTTGGATGACG